TATAACGTATAACGTATAACGTATAACGTATAACGTATAACGTATAAATATAATATAATATAACAATATAAATATAAAATTGATAAGAAAATGCCTGTGGAAGTTCTAACTTCTGCAAATTTTGAGATATTGGGCTAAATTTTTTTAAATAAATAAAGTATTATTGAAGAATGGTTGGTTTTGATTTTGATGAGAATTGGCGAAAGGGTTCATTTTTTAATAAAATTTTGAATTAAAAAAATTGTTTTTAAATGTAAATGGTCTAATTTTTTATAAATATTTTTTATAAATATTTTGTAACGTCCTAGGTGGCGTTTACTAATATATTGATCTCAATATATTAAACAATAATATATTGAGAAAATGCCGAATTTTTATTCAAATTAAGTTTTTATTTATTGTCTATTTTCTGTGAAGGTTAAATAAAAATAAAAAAAAGTGCAAATTAGAAACTTGCACATTGTTTCCTTGCCATTTTTCTTTTCGCTTATAAAGTTTCCTCTACGAGGAAGTCGGCCTATTATACGCTACTAATTTTGTTAATTCCTCATAGAGAAAGATTTATAAGCGAAAAAAAATGGGGAGAAAGCAATGTGCAAGTTTCTAAATTGTATACTTTTTGTTTTACGTTGAGAGAGTGTTTATGTTTATGTTATATTGTTTTATGTATTTCTACTTTACATGTAAGTAAATTAAAATGCCATAATTTTATTTATTGTATACTAATGTATACAATTAATGTATACAATTTATTGTATACTAATTTACTTTATACTAATGTAGAGATACAATGAATTACATACTGAAGTAGCGTAAAGCTACAGACTTTGATTGCGTTGTTAATATCAATAAAATGTAAATTGAGCATTTTATGACAGAGCTATTTGTACAGCAGTAAAGTTTTGCGTCCAACGAAGATATGATGGAAAATATAGTGAAAGAAAAAAATTGTAATAAATAATTTTTCTCAAAATTCTTCTCTAAAAATTTTAGCTTTCCATAGAATAAGACTGTATACAATGCAAGCTAACATAAATACAAAGTAAAAAATAATACAAATAGGAGAGCATAATTTTCTCTTAATGTAAAAATAAATATTTGCAATAATGTCATGCTTGTTATAAATCAATTTATATTTATTGTGCAATTATAAGCTAAAGTATAGTGACTAGTGACATATAAAATTAAGTGTTCTGAAAATTACATAAAATTATTTTACAGTTTATTTTAAAAACACATTTTATTAACATTTTTTTATAGTATATAAATTATAATTTGTTTTCGTATATTTGCTCTTTTCTCCCTTCTTTTCTTATTACTTTGAAATATTTTACAAAATTTTTAAAAGCTAAATATTATTGAGATAATTTAATTATGCATGTATATAATCTAGAATTTATGAAAAGATTAGCTAATCGATTTTCTTTTTTATAGTTCTTCTCATCTAGCGATAATAGATTTCACAGGGAGGCTCGAATTAGACCGAGTGTGTCCGGCAGTCTTATAAAAGGGAAGACACTGTTGACATGCGTGTCTAGCGTCCGAAAAAAATCCAGTGCGTCTGGATAGATCTTTCCTGTTAGTTAAGCCGATCATTGCCGCTGTAACAAGCCGGCTATTGACAGGTCCTCGCCTGCCATCATGCCACATGAATGTGAGTGTGTTCTGGATACGTAGGTATGGCCAAAAGGGATGGCCAGGACAAACCGCAGTTCGACTATCTTATGTGGTGGTGTTACTACGGGCGCCACATACTAATGGAGCATTACCTTAACACCCTCTATCTGAGCTCTCGTTTAGTTAGTTACTCCTCGGAGATGTGAAAGAAAGGACAGAAGAAAAAGAGGGAGAATCACCGTATCTTCCGATCCACCTCTCTTAGTCGTAACGACGAAGACGGGGGTGGGCCTTCTTGCCACTACTATTGTGCCTTCTCTCGGTCTTGCCTCCGTTTTACTCCTTTTTGATCGATCTCTCAAGAAATAGCGTCCCAACATAAATCGTTATCACAGTTCGACATCTTGTGTATTATAGAGATGTTGCATTATTTAATTGGATAAAAATAATTTTTATCACCACAGATATATAGAAAGAGCGTGACATATATAAATAAGATATACTTTTCAAAAAATATTATTAAAGTATTGTTTCTTGCAATATATTGTAGTTGGTAATAATTAACAATGTATATATAATAAACATTATTCCTACACTAAATCACTTTTTTCCTAATAAAATTTATAAATAATGATTAATATATAATACAACTTTTAATGTAAATTGTAAATTGTAAGCAAATGTATTTTACAATGCTTAAAAAATTTTATATTTTTGTAACTGCGTAGATAAGTTACAATGAGGTTTTAATAAATATACATATACTGAAATATTTCGAGAGAGAGAGAGAGAGAGAGAGAGGAAGAGAGGGTGTACATATTTTAATGACATAGTACATATTTCAAATAGATTTTTTTATAATAAAATAATTATATGTATATCTTTATTAAAAAATGTTACATTAAACAAAATAGTTTTACAAAATTTTTTTAAAAATATTTCCCGAGCATTACTAAAAATTTTTTAGATGCAATAATTACTACTGAAATATGTTTTTGTAAATTTATTGTACATTATAAGTCTAATAAGAAATGAGAATTGTTTTTATAATTTCTATTATTTCTTTTATCATACCTATATGTACCTATATCTATGCCACTACACATATACTTACATCGGGCGTCTTTAAATAAATCATTTAAAATAAAGGAGAAAAGATACGGAAAAAGTGTAACAAGATTTTTAATCCTTTTTTTTGTAAAAGCTGATAGTGTAAAAAAATGTTTTTAAAACTTTTCTAAATCACATAAAGTTATATGGGTTTCTTAAAACAAAAAACCATACAAATTTTTATAATAAGTCAGTTTCTTTCGATATTCTTTCGATATAAAAAAAAAATGAAGATTATGTTATATAACAATTAATTTGCACATTATTTTATATTTTATTTGGATACATTTTAACATAAAATATAACCTAAACGTTTATGTTTTAAATGTGTTCACAATTCGGGTGACAGACGTGTGCAATTTTTCGCTGCTAAATTGTATCAGCATATCGGATTGCGATAACTTCGAAATTCAGTTTGAAACAATATAAGAAACATAATACGCGACGACGATAACTGAAGATGTTGAAGATAGCGGCGACGGTGATGACGGACTGCATGAATTTTAATCGACATCTTATCTAGTACACGAGCGAAACTGGAGTGCCGCTGGATCGTGATCAAGTGGACTGCCATGGTGAGGACAATACATGCCAACCGACAGGCGACAATACACTATCAAACTCGTTGAGATGTATTGCTCTTTTGTTTTATACTACACCTGCCGCATACGTGATGATCGAGAGATGTTGCCAAGAATGTATAAACTCCATTCAGTACCTACGACGAAAACAAAAGATAAAATTAGTAATTCAGAGTTATTGTTCTTAACAATTTCGTAATATCTATTATACAGTAAAAATAGTATTTGCATATAAAATAGTATTTGATAGTATCTAATAGTATATATTTTCAAATATTATTTTTTATCGAAACATATAGTAGTTTTCATACATATATTTATATACCAAACATGATATTTTGTAACAACACTTTTTGTAAAAAATTATTACAGACAAATGAGATTTGCAAATAGTTTGTCATTTATATATTATATAATAAGTATAATTGTTTTCTTACACAATTATGAAACTGTTAACTTTACGTTAGTGCTTTTATCTATTAGTTATAATTATTATCGAGAAATAGTACATAAATTATACTTTATATTTATAATGGCTATTCACGGTCTCTCTCTCTCTCTCTCTCTCTCTCTCTCTCTCTCTCTCTCTCTTTGCAATTGTATTTTTATTGCAATTTATGTCACAGATTATTTATTAAAAATGGCAACACATATATATGGTAAATATATATTGTAAAAAGTAAGTATTTAGCACAAAATTTGACGATAAAAATAAATGATAAAAAATTAGTCTTAGATTTTTGTCTCTCTTTTTAAATCGTAGACGATACCAGTTATGGATTTTGTAAGCGATGTGACTGCCACTATATTAAACCCGTCTCAAGACTATCGTGCAACTTTAAGACCTCGCATACACTCGACGCTCCGACATTTCGACCCCTCTTCGAGAGATCACGTCAACCCCTATATAGTTATACGATTCAAGACTGCCAAGGGGTAAAACGGTACAGCATTTCCGATAGGATTTACTACCGCAGACATATTTCAGGTTCAATCTGAAGACTTCGGTTATCGGCGGACACGCGCGTTTTCTATGCGTCTCATGTTTGTCTTTGTCTGCCATTCTGTAATACTGTCATAGAATTTCATATATAAAATACGGGCAATATATCGGAGGAAAAAAATTAGATTAATTTTTTTTAGCATTATATAATTTTATTAAATCTATATAGACTTACATATATAGCTCTGTGATAACTAGGAAATTTCTAATTTTTGACACTTTGAAGAAAATACTTTGCAATTTCGAGATTGACAATGCTAGGTAAAAAGAGGTTATAAGTCTGAAAGGCTAATAATATATATAGTGTTTGTTCAATACTTGTGAAGAATATAATACACAGTCAAAGATTTTTGGGGTTAATCAGAGTGTTACATACATCAGTACATTTTTTAATTGTTTTCCTTTTGTGTCGATTTTATATTGCGATTCAAGAAAATATAATTGCGAGAAGCAAAATTATATTAAAGATATAGATATTGCAACATTATTTACACTATACAAACTCAAAAACATGCTATTAATAAAGAAATGGCCGTTTATATTAAACAAAAAATATTTAAAATTTATAATTAATAAATATAATATAATATTATATAATATATAAGTAATATATAACACTTAACGTAGCAGGACTCAATACATACTCAATGCACACTCAATATTGTATACCCTGGTAGAAATGTCATACATTTTTTTAGCAGTTACCTACTGGACAGATATATTAACTTCTGTCTAATAATTGAGAAGTAAAACTTTTTGGGATTCCAATCAAGATGTAACGCTTTTCCTTCAGTTACTGCGCACAAAAGATGCGAGAAATCTGGACTTATTTATTGAATAATAACAGGACAATAAATGAACAATTCAATTGATTAATATAAGCAAACCTATACTGATCAAGAAATGTACAGTTTTGCCCTAGTAATTATATTTGCCATAGTAGTTTTATTGCTAAATGTAAAATTTTGAGGTTAATGAGTGTCATATATAATGCAGGAAATCTTTCATGCGTAATATATATTATACTAAAAGCATAATATAGTGCGTATAAAAAGTACCGAGACGGCAGTATATTTCAAAAGGATGGAGTTTTCTGAAAAAATGTTATATACAAAAGTTGTAGGGTTTAAAAAGATCTATTTACTGATCTTATTAGTGTGATCTTGGGTCTCGTCGCCAAGGTCAGAACAAGGTCACCTTGAATTTTTTAAATAGGATTCCCTATTTTTTATAGCATATTCTTGTAGCCCTTGTCGAGACTTTTTCAAAACACTATAATATACCCAGTAAGCAAGGAACATTAAATTAACGTTTAGAAATATAAACTTTATGTGTATTTTTTAAACGTTTTTTAATAATATTACACACATATTTGAAAAATATTATTTCGTAAAATAATTTTTCTGAATGTTGTTAAAATATTTTTAAAACGTTACAAAAAATATTTTTCAAATGTTACTCTGACATTTATTTGAGATCAATGCAACAGTTCAAAATTCCCTGTAATTTGGACTTGGTAATAACGTTGGTAGTATATTAATTTTCTGTTGTTAGAATGTTATTGTTTTATATTGTGCGCAACGCTCATCGCGACAGCCATGATGCGTACATTATCCTACGTACGATGTACGATGCGTGAGTGCGTATATACACGCATGTGGATCGAGCAATGCGGAGTGCTCTTTAATTACAGTATATTTATATATAAGTAACTATTATACTCTAAAAGTTGTATATTAATAATAAGATAAGTCGTTTTATTTTCGACCCAACTGGCCAATTAAAACAATATTGCACGACGTTTCGACCGAATTCCGGTCCTTATCAAGTGCTATTAATTTAAGTTACACCGATCCGCATAACAAATTGCATCGTTGACGTGGTGTCCTGACAACGTCAAGACAAACGCAAAACTAAACAAAAGAGAAAATAATACATTTAACAATAGAAAAACTATACAAAATCGTTACAATATCACGCTGGTCAAAAACAATAAAATTAATTAACACTGTAAAAATTAGTTAAAAGCTTACAATTCTTATGCGTTCCAAAACAAACGGTGAAATCAAAACGTCACCAGCCATAGGCACAACGTCCGAACAGTAAAACAGTCAAAGTCGAAATGAAGTTGTCAAACGTAATCCGCGGATAGCAAACGGCGCTCTGATGGAAAAACGAGCAGAACCGAATATACAGGGCCGACTAAGTGATACCTATGACCCGGTTATAAATAGATGGCAGGCTCTCAGTATCGTTTTGTAAATTGACTGTGCAATCATGTTTTTTAATGAAAAACATTTCCGATATTTCTCTTTTTTTAAAATGTTTTTCTTTGTATAAAATTTTCGGATGTTGCCACTTGAAATCATGATTGTGTGTAAGGCGATGTTTGCTCACAACAGAATGATTATCTACATTTTTCCTAATATCACATCGATGTTCTTTGATGCGTGTTTCTAAATGCCTTTTTGTCTGGCCAATATATACCGCATCACAATTTGCACAATCAATCTTATAAACTAACTCAGTCTGACTGAGACTCGGCAACGCGTCCTTACCCTTCCTAATGACACAATCCAATCTCTTCGGGATGGTGTGAAGAACTCTAAAGTTCATGTCTCGCATTGTACGGCTAACATTCTCGCTAAGGCCCTTTATGTAAGGTACAGTAATGCACCTTCGAGGATCTTGGGCCACTTCGCTACTGACAGGATCATTGTTGTTACGATTTCGCAATTCGCCAAGTCGGACATTGACATATTTATCAACAATTTTCTTCGGGTAACAATTATTAATAAGAATCTTTTTTATTTCACTAATATTAGAATTGTGAAACCGCGCGTCGGACAAAAGAATCGCCCGATCAACCAAATTCCTTACGATGTTAATTTTGTATTTCATAGGATGGTTTGAAAAATAATTTATGTACCGGCCCGAGAAAGTTGGTTTACGGAACCAATTCGTAAGCAATGAGCCTCCCTCGCGGATGACCGTGGTATCAAGGAAACTCAATTTACCATTGCTTTCCATTTCGTAAGTGAATTTTAATCTATCGTGGTAATTGTTGAAACTGTCTAATAATTCACCAATACCCGACTCGGGAACAACCGCGAAAATATCATCCACATATCGTTTGAAAAAGGATATCCTGAAACTAAGCCGCTGTATACAATGTTTCTCTAAATCCTCCATGACCATGTCAGCCAGGATAGGGGAGAGGGGAGACCCCATCGGGCTTCCGAAGATCTGTTCATAAAATTGGCCGTTGAACATAAAACTAGTCGAACTAAGGATCAAGTCTACAGCACTCAAGAATTGTGGAAGGCTGAGATCAGTTTTTGTAGTAATGTAATTCCATCTCTCTTCAATCGCTTTCAAAACAAGATCTTTAGGTATGTTAGTGAAAAGAGAAGTGACATCTAACGAAATTAAAACGTCACCGTCTCCCACTGTCACTCCTCTAATCAATTCTACAAAGGACCAACCATCCTTAACATACGATTCAGGTTTCGGAACAGATTTTTCTAAACAGATTTTTTTTTTTTTTAATTGGCCAGTTGGGTCGAAAATAAAACGACTTATTTTGAATTATTTGCTGGCGACGGAAGTTGTTTTGTTTAATAATAAGAATTCAATTAACCATACGTGCTATGAATAGTAGCTGATATATGATGATCTATAACTTATAATTTAGGTTAACTACAAATAACGTTCTTTGAGTATCGGTAGAAGCTATATAGTAGAATTATTTGCTATTTTCTTGCAATTTACTGCCGATTATTTTCAGCTGTTTGAGCGCGTCGAGATCATGAGCAGACGCACGCTTGTCGCGACAGCGAATCGGAAGCAGTAATAGTTCTGGAGACTGTAGTCGCATTATCTTACATATACGTATGATGCGTGAGTATGTCATATATACGTACGTTTGTGCTTGTGCTGTCGAGCACTTTTAATTGTATACAACATTTTTAAGTAATTATTATATTCTAAAACTTGCATATTAATGATAAAAACTCAATTATTTATATGTGCTGTAAATAGGTAGCTGGTGATTTAAGATATACGTAATTTATGTTCTTAAGATTAAATAAATAGGTATGAATTTTTCAGTACAAAAAAATAGAAAACAAAAACAAAAGTCTATAAATAAATCTTGAATGATTTGTGATTACACAGTAAAAATAATTGTGTGTACATAGCGGTCCATATGTTAAAATTTTCTTATCACCAAAATTTGATTATTATTTTAATGTAAAATTAACATACAACAGCTATGCTATTTTTTTCTTAACATTTTCATGTGTTACATTTATGTCAACGTGATAATTTAACACTTTATATATGTCATTTAGAAATTAAATATTATTTTGAGTTTTTTTAATACAATTACTTTAAAAAATCAACACATCTTAAAGTAATTTTAACACATAAATAAAAGTTAAACGTAAATTTTCAAATAATCGTAAACTTTGACACACAAAATATTTAAATTTACTAAAATTTAATGTTTCTATTACACATAATTTAAGTAAAATCTATAAAATAATTTATATCATGTGTTAATATAACTTGAAAAATAAAATCAAAAGAATATAAATGTAAAGTATATTGTCTATAACATTTCTAATTTGTCAACAAGTAACACACGGTGAATGAGTCATTTTAACTTAAAATTTAGAGTAAACTTTCTGGAACATGTAAAAATTGTTAAAATTACATTTTATTTTTTACTGTGTATACATGATATTTTTTTATTATCTTATGTATTTTAAATATGTTTTTATAAATATAATTAAAAATTACTTTGTATAAAATATAATATAAATAAGATATGTAATACGTACGCATATCATTTATATATAATTTATAATACATATATATAATAAATATTATAGGTATTATGTATAATAAAATATAATAATTAAATAAATAATTATTATATCAAATTATTGTATTTAATAGTTAAATATAATTAAGAGATAATACTAAATACAAAATTATACTTTTGTGATGTCAAAATAAACACAAAAAATATCATTTTAAAATGTTTTTTTTTTTTACTTATTTAAACAATATAAATATTTAATACAATTGAAACTTATATTTATTTCGGATTTAGCGATTTACTGAGATATATCCACAACAATTCTTCAAGCATTTATTCTTCTGGAAGGTCATCAAAGTACTTAAGTAATGCACTGTGGGGAGTAAAGTCCCACTGGCATTAAGTAAAATAGAAAACATTCGAAGACAAATGATAATCAACAAAATTCTTTGGAAAGGAATAGGATCTGCTGATTAATTGTATAGTTTAATTACTAAAGATGTGGTATTAGACATTGTAAGTTTAGAAAGTACCTATAATAAATAATTAATAGTGTTTCAATATTCTTTTTTCGGCTCTTTAAACAAATTTCTTATAAAACCATTAATGTAAAAGAAAAAATAACCCGTGATTTTGTAAGAACAAATAATATAATTATAATTTACATATAATTTTAGATACTTATGCATTGTAAAGACCACTGTTACGAATAAAATCCTACTATATATAGAAAACTTATTAATTAATTATAAAATTATTAAAAAAGATGAAATCTTATGTTGTATATATAAGTGAAGCATCATGATTAAAATTATTGTCTAATAAGTTTTTTAATTTTAATAAATTTTTATAACAGAATTTTTTATGGTATCAAAAATTACCTGACTAAAAACATTGTAAGAATTAAAATAAGTTTTATTGATATTATAACTAACATATTTAAATTACTTGAATACGTCATTTTCTCTATTTTTTAATATATGTATTATAAAAAAATATAAAATTTGTATATTACAAATAAATTAGCCCTATATAGAAAATTATTTAAAGGTACATAACAACAAATATATAAATATATATGTATACTAATAGGTTGAACCTTTTAATTTATTTTTAAAATAATATATTAATTTGTTTTTTAAATTATATATTAATTCCTAGTTAAACTTTAATATTGTAGAATGATGTCAGTAAGTGATAGAGATTTTATCGTGTATAACTACATATAATTATAAAAATTATACTGTCTTATTTATTATAATAATTTTATAATTTCAAACGCAATCTTTTTTGTAAAAAATATGCATTTTTTTCGCCATATTAGTTTACAATAACTTATACAGCTCGGATTACTTTGACCTTGACATATGTTGTCAAGGACATAATACTGAGTAACTTTTCCTTATAACTTAATCGGCGGTCGCTTTTTATTAAAAAGTTATTAACAAAAAAAAGTTTGGCGACCTCACCGATTTCAATGACTTTGATATATGTTGTCAAGGTCATGACCCCGAGTGACCTTCAGAAGGTTTTAGCCGTTGCTCGTTATTCGTTAAAAAGTTATTAACAAAAAAAGTTTGGAAAATACGTAGGTTAGATGACGCGCTTTACAAGTATTTAACTGTTTAAAGCGTGTCACTAATCTACATAGGTTAGATGACACGCTTTAACAGTATTTAATTGTTTAAAGCGCGTCAACTTACCCATGCGTAAACTATTTCGGAGCTACCGCATCTCCCCCGAAAGCAGGGGGGGGGTGTGGGTGAACCTCGGTTCGCGTGAAAGTATATGCGTGAACTATTTCGGGGCTGCCGCACCTCCCCCGAAAGCGAGGGGGTGTGGTTGAACCTCGGTTCGCGTGAAAAGTGTATGTGTGAACTATTTCGGAGCTACCGCACCTCCCCCGAAAGCAGTGGGGGGTGTGGGTGAACCTCGGTTTGCGTGAAAAGTGTATGCGTGAACTATTTCGACATATATATTAGTCATTTATGCCTTTCAATACTCAAAATAACTGCTACATTTTTCAAACTTTATTTGTTAATAACTTTTTAATAAAAAGCGACCCCCGACTAAAACCTTTTGAAGGTCACTCAGGAGGGTGACCTTGACAACATATGTCAAGGTCAAAGCCATCGGAGGTGGGTCCCCTAAACAGGATGTTTACCAAAAATTAATAAGGCTTTTTAAGTACAAAAAAGATTCTTAATTCAGAAATCTCGTTTTATAATTTCTTCACTATTACAAAAATATTTTTATTATTTTTTTCTATATCTATTTTATATTATAAGATAAAATTAAGAGCTTTATTAAATTAGTGTAAATTATAGTGCTATTATTATTGTGTTTAAAGTTTGAGATGCGAGAGGAGTCAGAGGCGTGAAGTAAAACGCGTGAAACGCGTCTCGTATGTTGTATGACATGATTGAAGGCATGCATGATTAATACATAGTAACGTACGTGATTGACACGTTAGCAACGACGTTTACAAAATAAAATAAATCAATAATTAATAAAAGACTGGGATTTGGTATTGATTTTCTGACTCTTGAAGAAGAATTCATACAAGTAAGAAGGAGTGCGATCTCTGTTCCCTGCTTTGAAAATTCGGTTCTTCTCAATATTTCTATGAGACCTGATTGACTTTCGATTACGTTATATCATTCTGAGGATTTCCTATTAAATTGGTGAGTGAATCGGGAGTGTCATACAGTACCCGTCATACCCGTCCGTGGCAAGGATGGTCGGACGGCTAATTACAAGCACGCGTAGGTGAATAAATACATTGGGCGTTTTACGCACATTACGTATATCCATTTACGCTCTCACCTTGTCACTCTAAGGAGCCATCACACCGAGACGCAGGTTCCTTACAGTTCCTGGGAGGCATTCAACTTTTCCCTTTATTATAACGATTTGTTTCCTAACAACGCACCCCTTGGTTTAAGGTACATTACGTCTGAATCATTAGTAATCGTTGCGCCACATCATGTGAAACATTTGTTATTTTGAACGAGTTTTATTCTGAAGTACGATGACGCCGAAGAACTAAAATTATAAAATCGTAACTCTTTCCTATCTTAAATTATCAAGTCATTTAATTCTATGTGATTCTAGTATTCACAATACATGAAATAATTATTAAATTAATTGTGTTTCAAATTTATTTGAATTTATGCCTTTAATTGATATTGCTATTTTCTTAGTTAATTCATTTACTATCTAAATATTTTATTTATTTTCTATTATATTTATATTAAACTTTTATATTAACTTATGTCATTAATTTTGACTATGTTTATGTATCTTAAAATTGACTTGAATTAATTGTAGAATATTACTTAATGTATTTTTATGATAATATATGTATTAATGCTGATCGATGTTAACTGAAAATGGTGAATTTTGTCTCCGTATCTTTCTCGTAGTAATCTACTACATTGAAGTGGCTTCTGAAAAGATCCCGCTTAAACATATTGTAATATGAATAAATAAATAAATATTATATATATATATATATATATGTATATATTCTAAAAGATAATGTATGTATTTATGTTCTAAAGTACAAAAAGATGTCAATAAAAGAAAAAAAATAATTTTATGATTAGATTACGACTATAACAAAAATAACAATATTGTTTTATC